CAATTCGGAACCATTACTCCACTAGACAGAGTAAATGAAACAGAATAGAAATAGAGAAACATTACAGAAAATTTTGATGGTTACATATGTCAAAGTTTCCTATATGAAAAAGGAGTCATTTCAAATTAGTGGTTAAAAGAGAGATTTTTCCAAAAAGTGGCATGTGAACACTTGCCTAGTCATGAGCCACATAGTGTCAGCTCAGGCAGTTTCCAATGGCATTCACACCCATGGTTCCATAAGATTTTAAGAGATTCAGAAATTCCAATTGGAGAGCAAGATGCAGTGCAGGTAACTGGACGCTATGAATGCAACAGCTTTCTGCCTACAATATATGTACCTCATGTCTCCTGTAAACCAAGTGATTGGGCCACAGAAATAAATGGTATAGTACATACATGTAAGCTAGAAAATACATGTCTTGATAGTCATAATAAACACCTGTGTCACTGGCTTCTGTATGTATTATAGTTTCTATAATGATTTTAATGTGAACTTGCCCGATTTACAAATAAAATATTTACTGTATAACTATATGCTTTGACTTGGATGCAGCAGCATCCAGTTTTGTGTATTACACATCTCTGGAGTACTGTGGCATTATCTCTGCTAAATTTTATTTCTAAAAAACACTGTAAAGTGTATCATGGCTCCCAAATGCAACAAAACTAATGCTAGTGATAGCAGCAGCAAAGTGTAAAGACATGTCAGTTTGAAAGTAAAACAAAAAGCTATTAGATAATGCCAAGCTGGAAAATCAGTGAATGTTCTTGCTCATGATTTAGGCATGTTCGTGCAACATTCAAACAATATAATATCCCATTTAACAGAACTTAGCGTGGATCCAGTGGTATAGTGGGTTACACGTTGGGCTCCTAACTGTAAGGATTGTACTTTGAATCCACCAGATGCTCTTCAGGACAAAGATACGGTTTTCTGCTCCCATAAAGAATTATAGGCTCAGAAACCCTATATAGGGTCTCGATGAGTCAGAAATTATTCAGCTGTTCACAACAGCAGTGTGGATCTTAGGCAATGCATGATTATATTTGAAAATCAAATTTAATTCCCTTATTTCACCAACTAAAAGCAAACCTGATGATGTAGAGTAGATTCTGACTCATCGAGACCCTATAGGATAGAGTTGCTCCATTGGGTTACCAAGGCTGCCATCTTTATTGAGGGAGCTCTGGTAGCCTAGCCGTTTACAAATTGCTAACCGGAAGGTCAGCTGTTGGAATGCCAGTCACTCGTGGGAGAAAGATGAGGCTTTCTGCTCCCATAAAGATTTACAGTTTCAGAAACCTTATACAGGATCACTATGAGTTAAAACCAACTTGACGGTATACAACCAACATCCTGGTAAATACCTGACTGAATCAAAAGTCTGGCATTGCAAATCCACCAGCTGCTCCATGGTTAAAAGATGTGGTAGTCTGCTTCCATAAAGATTTGTAGCCTTGGTAACCCAATGGAGCTACAATCGACATTAAGTCGATTCAGCCTCATAGCAACTCTACATAGGGTTTCCAAGGAGCGGCTGGTGGGTTTGAACTGCTACCTTGCAGTTCAAACAGACCTTGCGGTCCAGTGATTATCTTTCAGCACCACACCAGGACTCCTACTGTCCTTGTTGGCTGTTCTTAAGTGCCATCGAGTCAGTTTAGACTCACAGTGACCCTACATAGTGTTTCCTAAGAGCAGTTGGTGGGTTTGAACTGACGACATTGTGGTTCACATTCCAGTGCATATCCTACAGCACCCCACCAGGGGTCCCTACTGTCCTATAAGGTCACAATTTGTTGAAATTAGACTCGATGGCAATGAATTTGGTCTTCTGTTAATTTCTGGAGTCCTGGTGTGGTGTTGGAGGATAAGCACTGGACAGCAGGTTGATTTGAACCTCAATGTCAGTGGTTCAAACCCACAAGCTACTCCTTGGAAACCTTATACAGGGTTAGTATGAGTCAAATCTGACTCAACACTAGTGCTGTCGTCCCCGTATATAACTATCTACAGCTTAGCTGAAAGTTGAATCACAGTGATCTCAGCTCAAGACCAAAGGCCACAATCTCAGGCTCCTCCAGTCTTTCTGACCAATAAGAGTCCTTTTTACAATTTTGAGTTTTGTCCCACATTTTATTTTACTCTCTCTAGGACCTTCTAATTTGATCCCTATGAAAACAATTGGTAGTGGTAGTTGGGCACCATCTAGTTCTTCTGATCTCAGGGTTATAGAGATTGCTATGCATGTGTTCCATTAGTATATTGGACTAATTGATTCCAAGTATCTTCAGTTTTCATCAATCTTCTTTTCTCCACAAAGGGAGAGACCAATAGTTGCACTTTGGATGGCCGGTCATAAGCTTTTAGGATCCCAGTTGCTACTCACAGAAGCAGGATGTAAAACATAGTCTTTGTGGACTGTGCTCTGACAATTGACCATGGTGTTCCCTGAGACATTAGTCCTGAGCCCCTAAGTCCACCAACTTATTCCTTCAAGGTGTTTGGTAATGTCTAAGAAGTTTTTATGGTTTTGTCCCCTGCACACCATAATTCATATATATGTTTTCAGCAAAGGTAAAAATACCCTTGTATAAATATCCTGTCAAACCTTTAAATATTTGTGGGTATAATTTTACTCTCCCTCCCATATCCATTTAAGTACCTGTCCCTGTATCTACCCATGTTGTTGTTTTTGTTGTTAAGTGCCATTGAATTAGTTCAAACTCATAGAGACACTATATACAGTTTCCAGGGAGTCACTGGTGTGTTTGAACCACTGACCTTGTGGTTAGCAGTCCAGTGCTTGTCCTACAGTGCCACACGAGGCTGTTATTACAGGAATGTGTATATAACAGTATCAAACTTACCAGCTCCTCCTTGGAAATCCTATACAGGGTTGCTATGGGTCAGAACCAACTCAGTGGCACTTAATAACAACAACCACCTCTATTCTCATTACTTCTTGCTCTCTTTCCTGTCTTTGTTTGCCTTCATAATTCTTCTACCAACTTCTCTCTTGTTGTACGTTGCTTTCCCCAACACTCACACTAACAATATTTACTCTCTAGCCAGTAAATTATTTTTGCTTCCCACCCTTGGTAACCATCAAAGAATGTTTCTTTTAGCATGAAAATCTTTTCTTAACTTTCTTACAATAATAGTCTCATACAATATTTATCCTTTTGTTACTAATTTCACTCAGCATAATGTTCTCCAGGTTCATTATTATTCTTCAGGTGTTTTGCAGATACATCATTATTTTTCACTTTTGTATGTAACAGTCCATTGTATGCATGTACCAAAATTTGTATGTTCATTCTTCTGCTGGTGGGCAATTAGACTACCTCCATCTTTTTGCTATTATGAATAGTATGGCAGTGACCATGGGTGTGCACATATCTATTTATGTCATGCTCTTATTTCTTGAAAATATATACCAAGTAAAGGGGTTGCTGAGTCGTATGGTATTACCATTTCCAACATTTTGAGGAAGCACCATATCTTTCCCACAGTGGTTGTACCATTTTACAGTCCCACTGCCAGGGTAGGAGGGTCCTAGTCTCTCCAAATCCTTGCCAGCATTTGTTGTTTTCTGCTTTTTGAACTTTGCTATTAATACTGGGATAAGATGATAGCTCACTGTTGTACTGATTTGTATCTCTGTAATAGCTAATGATCATGAGCATTTATTCATGTTTGTTAACTGCCCAAATGTCCTCTTTGGTGAAGCACCTGTTCATTGCCCATTTTTACATAAGATTACTTGCCTTCTTGTTGAGGTGTTGAAGTTTTGATAAAATTTAGAGAGTAGGCCCTTGTCTTATATGTCATTGCCAACATTCGTTTTCCCAGTCTATGGGTTCTCTATACATTCTTGTAGTGAAATCTTATGACACACTTGTTCTTGTTATTGTTAAATGCCATCAAGTTGGTTCCAATTCATAGCAACCCTGTATAGGGTTTCCAAGGAGTGGCGGATGGATTTGAACCACTGATCTTTTGTTTATTATGACTGCTACTGTTTTTAATATAATTATTATTTTCAACCAATTCTCTTCTGAAAACTCCCAAAAGCAAATCTAATAATATTCTTTGGAAAATTTTGCTGGATAGAGTCTTTAACTGAATCTATATATCAAAGACAATTTTAGCTTATGCAATCAAAATAGTAAATATATGTGACCATATGACATATAAAGAGAATAATGAATTTGACACAAAAATCTCTGAAACAGATCTATTTTGTTCCCGTATTCACAAACCACAGCATAAACAAAGTATTTGGGCATTATACTTAAGTATAAAAATTAAGAGCTGTAAGTTTAGATAGCTTCAGTTGAAGCACTTTACAAAACCATAATGCCATAATCAGATGTACTCTAGTCATTAAATTTATGATTAATAGCCTTTTGTGATATTTTTCATTGTGTACATATTCAGTTTTCAGTTATATTATCAGACCAAACAATAAAGTAGGAAGGTGCCCATTTAAATGCTTTTTCTTCTCTAATAAGACTAGGAAAATAATTATTCAAAATGAAAAAAAAAATGTATTAAGTAGGAAATCCTTGTGAGGAAATGTAGTCAACTCTATTCCCCCACACCCCCATAAAAAGTATTAGGGTTTCACCCATGTAGGAATAAGTTTATATGAACGCACACACATTCACATGTATCAACATAGAATCTGAGTATAAAGAAACACACATACCCTTCTGTTCGGAAAATCACTCGAAAACTGTCTCCTAAGCTTTTGTAATGGTTTGGATCAGCTGTGCCTCCCTGAATCTGGAACCTAGAGACAAAGTAAAACAAAGAAAAAAAACCAAAGTCAAGAATTGTACCAAATGGCCTTTCTCATTTTTCAAAGTGTTAGGAAACTCAGCTTAATCTAAAATATACTGGGCTTTGTTATAATTTTTATTGATTTATGTACTTTTACCTAATTCTATAGCTTTTAAAATTTTGATATTTGTCTGTATTCTAATAGAAACTATAGAACAACAAAAAAAATTTTTTTTTGTCTGTTTCTTAGGCAGATACACACTGAGACATTTATACTTTTTGTGTGTATGAAAAGCATACACAGATGTCATAGATTGTTTTAATGTACAATTCAGAATTCTGAGGATGCATATGAAACAAATAAGTAACTCCAATTCTTATCTTAATTAGTTTTGCTTGATGGTAATTTAATTCAAAGGTTAAAAATATAGAGCGGCTAATAGGCCCTAACTTTGATCCTGATGGTGAATTTGGAATTCATTCTGGCAGACAGGAGCCTGTTCTTGGAGCAAGAGTTGAGGTCACATTACTATACAGTTTATTCTCATCACTCATGATGGAACAGGATTGGTCATTGTAGGTAGCTTAGGCTACCTGAATCTTCTCAGAAGCACAGTGTTTTACATATAGTTCCCAACACACTCTACCTCCTCTACCCCCTCAAAAAAACAAAAAGACTCCAGTTATCAAATCAATTCCAACTCATAGAAACCCGTATAGGATCCGGTAGAACTACCCCTTAGGGCTTCTGCGACTGTAAATCTTCATGAGGACAGACAGCCTCAATCTTCTCCTGTGTGCATTTAGTTGTTGTTAAGTGCCATCAAGTTGATTCTGACTCATAGTGACCCTGTATAGGGTTTCCAAGAAATGTTTGGTGAATGTGAACTGCTGACATTGCAGTTCAAACGAACATATAGTCCAGTGCTTTATTTTACAGTGTCATACCACCAGGCTCAGTAAAAAGGTATCCCACTTGAAAATATGTGTTTCCCCCCTTCTTTTTGAATATGATCATGTATCTCAGAGTCCTGGTGTGGTGCTGTAGGATAGGCACTGGGCTACTAACCAGAAGCTCAGTGGTTCAAAACCACTAGCCGCTCCTTGGAAACCTATACAGGGTCGCTATGAGTTGGAACTGACTTGATGGCACTTAACAACTGCAATGAAGAGTCTTAACTTTTTATTTTATATCAGGGATGTTTCTAAACAGATTTATAACAAGTACCCTCAGTTCCTGTATACCTCTCCCAGCTTCTGTTCTTTGGTTTCTTTTGTGTTCCTGTTCCTTGTGTTTAATTTCCTTGTCCTAATTCTAAGTTAAGGCCTTTGTCTTGCAAGGTTTTCCACCACAATGTTGCCAAAGATTTAAAGAATAACTTAAAAAAAAAATCTCCAATATTATCTATTTCAGGATACTTTTCTCAGCTTGTGTCTATACGTAAGAATGATGTATTACTGAGAACAGATACATAAGGAAGAGTGGAGATTTTGCTTTGGATGAAGCAGTTGGGTATGTTAAGGCAATAATTATATGACAAAACTGGAAAGAGAGGCTGGAATTAACATTTGTTTTTGCAAAGTGAAGAATTGCTGGATGTGTTTGAGCAGGAGAGTATCTGCTCAGAGATGTGAGATGAGTCTGTCAACAGAGTGCTTGGCACATACAAATCCCTGAATAAATACATGTTGATTGGTTGGATGGATTAGAATGGGGGCATGGAGAAGTGAACATTCATGAAGACAATGCAGTAGTCTGAATGGAAGTAACAGAAGTGGCAAGATGGAGCAAGGCTTTTGAACAGTCCTTGTTCACTTCAATTAGATGGTTCTTTAGTGACATATTCAACATAATTTCATCTAGATTCTCAGCATGTAAAATTCTACAGGTCTGCTCCTACTATTGCCAAAGTTTAAAATATCATAATGGGTTTTTTTTTTTTTGTGTGTGTGTGTGTGTGTGTGTGTTTTTCTAACAAACACCAATACTGATATTATCAGTTTTAGAGCTTTGTGGAGTCTATCAGAAGTCTGTGAAGTAGTATACCTAGTTCACTGAAACTGATACAATTCCTATCCTGGATCTAGAGGAGCATCTGGTGAGCGCATAGCCAGTGGCCTGAAAGACTCAGTAAGGGGCTCTGCCCCCTTATATATGTGAATATAAATACTCATGGTTTTGCACTCTCATATTTATAACCTGAATATAGGTTAGAGCAATGAATATAGGTTACAAATATGAGAGTGCAAAACTATAAGCATTTATATTTGAACTAGAATCAAAGTTATATTTTGGAAACTTATCTGTATGTTCTAAAATTTTTTGTTACGTTAACTTTTTTTTTTTTTTCTAATTCTTCCATGGTAGCATTTTGGTTTTAGTATTAATTCATTTGTACTCAAATTGCCAAATTATCTCATCCAAATGCTATAATCTACATGATCCTCAAATCTCCTTCTAGGTCCTAGACAGGCAGAGCCCCTTACTAGTGGTTATGAATTAGGCTGTGAGCCACAAGGTCAGTAGTTAGAAACTACCAGTTATTCCGCGGGAGAAAGATGAGGCTTTCTGCTCCCATAAAGATTTACAGCCTCGAAAACCCTGTACAGAGTCACTATGAGTTGGAACCAACTCCATACACATAACCACCAACCTATATTCACTGTATGAAACACTTTCTTATGCCTAATTGAAACATCTAAGACGCTTCTCTAATTATCCTTTCAAGAAAATCAGTTTCAGTACTTGTATATACTATAAAAGCATTACATGTTCATAGGTTTTTTTCCTTATAATGCCTGTAATAATCTTTAAAGTAATTCATCTACCTCAATCAAATTCTTTTCTAAATGCTTTTCTCCCAAGTTATCAAGTATTTTGAAAAAATATTTGTCATATGATATAAAATGCTAAGGTTAAAACATAAACTCAGGGCATTATCTTACTCTCACAAGAATGAGACAGAAATATGAATAAAAATAATTGGTATATAGGAAAAAAATATGCGAAAATGTCAAGTAATATCAGCACTGAGTTGCCCAGGTGCTCATCAGGGGAACAATTACGGCTTTCTGTGGAGGGTCAGGAAGGGTTTCAGGAAGGAGAAGGGATTTGGGCTGGTCCTCATGGAATTCAAAGAGGCAAAAGAATAAGCTGAAAGGAAGCGTTCCAGGTGGGGAAGTGATAGAAACAAAGGTCAGTAAGAGAAAGCTGTTCTTTCTAATGGGTTGAAATAAGTGAGGGTAAAAGATCTTCCACTGAGGCAAACTGTACCACATTTCCTTTAGTCAAATGTTTCAGCACTGTCTTGGTTGCCTGGCGTGCGTGGGGACCTGAGGTGGTTAGATGAGGATACTTATAAGATAAAGTTAAGGCTCAAGATAGAGAGTTTGACTTTTTTTCTGCTTCACAACAGAGCACCATAGCCAACTCCTGCTAGGTTATCTCATAGTTGTGTGACTCTAGTCTTAAATGGACTATAAAAAGTCAGCTGATGGACCAAAACAAGTACGTTGTTATGTCTAGATAATCTACCTTTGTTTTTCTTTTATGGCCAAGGTTAGAGGTATTAGCTTTGTCTATAATTAGCATACAGGAAAAAAAATATATCATATATATGTTGTTGTTGCTGTTAAGTCAATTCCGACCCATAACAACCCTGTATAGGGTTTCCAAGGAACAGCTAGTGAGCTTGAACCACCGACCTTGCAGTTCAAA